AAAAAAAAAAAAAAAAAAAGTGTGCAACAAAAAGGCATTAACATACTTGGGCTCTCGAACATGAAGGTGACCGTGTCACTGCCGTCATCTGCCTTGATGGTGATGATGTCATCATTTCCGGCACACTTGAGCATCTTGGCCATGTTGCCGAGGTTCATGCCCATGGAGAGGTTGCGGTCGCACCTGTAGTGCTCGAAGCCCTCAGATCTGAGCAGCAGCGCCACCAGCGCGACGTGGCTGGAATCCATGGCCTGAAGAGAGAATCCGGTCGCCGAGCAGTCGAAATTGGCATCGTTCACTAGATCCTTGATGGCTTCCAGAACCTTTTTCAGCAGGCTACCCTGCACGAGCCTCAGCTCCAACATTTCTACCGATGTAAGCTCAGGGTTTTAGGTGAGAATGTAAGAGGAATTTAGTAAATGAGTTTGGGGCGTAGAAATTGGGGGTAAATGGAGCTGCTAGGGTTTATAGAGAAATTCGAGTAGTGTGCCCGGCAATGTAATGGCTTTGATTGGCGGGAGTTTGGGAAAAAATGGGTGCCATATACAATTTCAATTCCCGCCAGAATTTTTGGCCAGTAAATTTTGGTTGCAGTTATTATTATTACTAGTATAGAGCCCGTGCGATGCACGGGGTGCACAATTTTAAAGCTATTTGTCCAGGCTTATAATTACATACATCAATAAAGAAAATGTACGAGATATATATAGTACGTGACCCGTGCGAAGAATGAGATATATTTATTTGGAGAATATTATATTATCAGATGCAATATTCAATAAAAGTTTATAATACGCAAGAAAATTGTACAATGTTCAATAAAAGTTTTATAATATTCAAGTAGAATCTTAAAGTCTCTTGTACATTAAGACTACTGACAAAATAATATTTTAATCAATGAGTTTCCTTTGCTCGTAGCCAAATTGTGAATGTGATTTGAGGAGTACAACAAATCGATATATAGCTGACTTGCTTTTTTCATTGTATTTTTTTTTCTTTTTTTATAATGATTTAAAGATATTCTAAAATATAGCAAAAATTAATTTTTTTTATTACAATTAGGAATTTTACTAAATATAGACTTTCAATCTATGGTGTTAATCAACGTTTAAGTCTAAAAAATTAAGAATTTTTACCTCTTTTAATCAACGTTTAAGTCTAAAAAACAATAGAGTTATTATAAGTTTTTTCCTACATCTTTTAAAACATTAAATATGAGCATGTTAGGGCTAGCTTGTAAAATAATTAATATATTATCTCACTAAACATTTATACTAATAAAAATTTAATTTTAGCATATAAATTTATCCCTTGATATAAGAGAAAGTAACAGTTTTTCTTATTGTTGTTCACCATATAATATTTAATTATTATTTTATTATATAATAAAAAAAAAATATTGTTAAATAGTGTAGTAGAATTGTTATAAAATTAT